TTGTTTTTTTTTTTTTTTTTTTTTTTTTTTTTTTTAAATGTTTTTTTTTATTTATAAAATCCCCCCCGGCGACGGGAAAAAAAAAAGAAAAAAAAAAAAAAAAAAAAAAAAAAAAGTACTACAGGAGTGTTCACAGTTACGAGTCTGCCACTGACCTCTTCATGTCTTCTAGGCAAGTGCCTGACTTGATTATTAAAACAAGCCGCATTGCAAAGGTGGAAATTTACTGTTAACCTTTCCTCATTTTTCCAAGCAAAAGTGTGTGTGTGTGTGTGATGGAGGGGAGGAAGGAATATCTGCACTGATGATTAGGTTTATTATACTGTGAGTTATTTGCTAAGGAAAGTAAAACCCAGGCATTTCTATACTCAATTTATCAGTCTAAATTCAATGTAACACTCGTTCATATAAAAATATTAAATGGCTTTTAACAATTTTTTCCTTTTTAAGATACAGTTTTAATATTGACATATGTGATACAGACATAAACTACTAAATTCAGACAAACCAAGAATCCAAAGAGGATTATTCATCAATGTGACTAAATCAGGGATAAAATACCTCTGAATTTTCCACAACTTATCATCATCCTTTCCTAAATACTTTTTGTACGAACTATTTACCTTGGTTAATTAAGATCATTTAAATTCTCAGTAAACTTGAGTACTAACATGATAATATGGTCCAGTTTATGTTACCATGATCTTCTACCATTATCCAACCAATCAGTTTCTAAATAATTTTCCCACTTAATAATTTGGGAGCCTGTTTCAGGGTGTACTCTTGAACAGCCTCATGCCTTTTTGGGCACTGCAACTACTTGAGAGCTGTGTATGTTCTCTCTGTAACTTCCAGAGGTGAGAGGCAGAGAAAAGGAAAAGTTAGGCAGATGTTCTATGTATACATCTTTTTTCCTAAAGCAGCCATTGAAACCCTGTGAACTGAAATGAAACTTCAAAGGAGTTAAGTCTTCAAATGGAGTAAGGGATGACAGACTGGATCAGAAAGCCCAGTTGCTCCAGTGTTGACTTGCAACACAGAGGTAATAAATTGGTTGTTAACAAGGAAGCCATGACACAGAGTAGGTCTATGTTGAGTTTTAGTGGTACCAAAATTGGTCTTGAATGAATCCCTTAAGCCTGTAAAAAAGTCAGGGTTGGCGGGTGATAAAAAGTTTTAGTTCCAGGGCCGGCCCGGTGGTGCACTGCTGTGGTGCACCGCTTGGGAAGCGTGGCGGCGCTCCCGCTGGGGGGTTGGATCCCACATACAGACCGGCCGCTCACTGGCTGAGCTAGGTGCGGGAGCAACACCGAGGGTTGCGATCCCGTTGCCGGTCCCGGTCCGGTGCGGGCGCGACACTGAGGGTTGCGATCCGTTGCCGGTCACGAAAAAAGACAAAAAGGAAAAAAATAAAAAAATAAAAAAAAAAATAAAAGTTTTAGTTCCAGCTTTGTGCCAGTTACTAACTTTTGCTTCTAAATATAGCAACTTTAGAACCCTTCCTTCTAATGAGTGGTGGTGAATCTGAATTATGAAACCCTCACACCACTAACAAGATTCAACTACTGAACAAAGATTAAGTAGGGTCTGCTGTGTGCACGTAGCTACAACATTTGGGATAGGAAAAAAGTAATCCTTTAAAATTGCTTTACTATTTTTTTTCTTTAACATTTCCTCATAAATGGTAATCCTCATTTTTATAGAAAAGAGGTACACAGAGGCTATAGACTTGAGTCCATGGAAAATGGCAGAGTCCAAACAGGGGCCATGCCTGCTTCTCAGCAGGCTCCTTCCCTAAAATTCTTTTTTTCCTTCGGCAGCTGTCCAGTACTTCTCCCCTAGAATTCTTCCTCTATCTGCCATGACACTTAGGTATACAGGGAGTTAAGGGAGTTTTTCGTTGTGTCCTTGGGGTTAACTGCTCTGGATGCTCTCAGTTCAAGAAAAAGTTTCAAAATTTCCTTCCTGCTTGTCATAAAGAAGAGGAAAGAAGAAAATCAAAGTAAGATAAATAAAGCATACACACAAATCTCAAGGTACATAAGTTGGATGATTTAATTTAATATCAGCAAGGGCCAAATTGAAACTTAACACAGCAGTATTTTGCTCAAGAAAATAAATATTTGGAGGAAGAAACATTTTCTTAAAAAAAAGTTTATTTAGAAAAATCAGCCTCTTACGCAAGGTTTTGTATCTCTACTTTCACTCTGTCAATTACAATGGTTATTTCCAATGCACTGAACATAATTCACTGAATGTCTATCCATATCTTTTTGCATCAATTTAAAAGATATCAGGTTAAAAAATATTTACAGTTTTCATTCTGGTCCACCTCCAACTTTATAATGAACTTCTCTAATCTTCACATAAGTGAAAAGGGTCACAAAATCTGTAGGTTTGTGGGGAGAATAAGAATGTGTCCAATAATTCCAAGCATAACATAATTTTCGTTAAGCCCTTCTAAGGAAAAAAAAAAAAAAAGAAAATGCTTATTGAACTAAGCACACTTAGCAACTTCCCTCCCAATCTTATCTTCATTGGTTTGCCTGAGGCCAAATTTTTCTGGCCCTCATTTATTTGCAAACAATGGGAAAAAAACAAACACCAAATACATACACACTGAAAATCACACACACACCTGCAAGCTAGAAGCAGATATAAATGGAATCACTATGAATCAAAGGGGAAAAATTCTAGGAAAAAAAAAAAAGATTTCAATAGTCTTACAGTTTAACTGAGATCTTGGAAAAACTTAAGCTGAATTCAGCTGTTTGAAATATCTCTCTACATTTAATTAAATGTCTTGTATTTACCAAGAAGGCACAAATATATAGCTCTGTATATTTAATATTACTAGGTGATTTCAAAAGGGGCAATGATCTACAACCACTCAAAATTTATCTTTGAACAGGGGTGCAAAAAATAGTAACTTAATGAAAACAACCCTCAAGCACTTGGCTTCTAAATAGCATTCCAAGAAAAGGTACCCAAGAGGTGCTGACAAATACATGTGGTTAGAACAGCCAAGAGGTTTCCAAAGTTTTATACTTTAAATTCCCTAAATATATAGCTAGTAGGCACATATATCAGGCAACTACTCATGCTAAGAAAATATGTCAGCATTTTATAAAACCTCCAACTTTCAACCAATATTTCTATTCATAAATCTTCCAGTGATAATGCCTGACAGCACATTATAAATAACAATGAAGCAAGATTAATTTTAAATTTTTGATTTGCCTCAAACAAGTTAGGTGTTATTCTTCCTTTTAACATGATACTTAAAATAGATGAATTCAGCAGAATGGTTTAAAAAGTTAAGGCTCTCTAAAGGGTTCTAAAGACTAAAACTTAAGGCACATATTATAATCTTCATGACACTGTTAAAAGCTAAGAAAAAAAAAAAAAAAAACAAAGCAAAACCTACTTCCTTCCCTCAACCTTTGCCAACCACTCCTTCCCCAAAACATACGGTATTTTAAATTCAGGCTATTGGTAAGGAGTAAAATAAAAATTCCATCAATGAACACCTGGTATGATTTCCACACAAATGTCCACTATCTGCATTGAGCACCACTGGTAGATAACAGGCCAGTAGAAGATTTTCAGGTATCCTGGGTCATGAACTGCTCCATTTACCCTTCAGCCCCAGGGGTTCAGACTGGACTCTCCTCCTCTTTGGGACCTCCTTCTGTGCCTTTCTGCTCCGGAGATTCTGCTGTTTTTGTAACTTCTTTTGGCTTCTCGGCAAAATCTATACCAGTCTCCAATTCTTTACTTTCTTTTTTCTGCTTCTCCTCTGCTTTCTGTTCTTTTGCCACAAGTCGATAATTGATGCCCATGCCAATGAAGAGATAGATACCTGCAATAATTAGGATCACACCACATGCCCAGTATGTGTATTTGTAGTCTCCATACATGTCATTGAGACGACCTAAAGATGTAAAAAAAAAGAAAAGAAAAAATCATGTAGGTAAAAGTAAACAAGGGTACCCTTTCCCAAACTAGGCTTAAGCATCCACTCAAAACAAAGATGTCAATCCAACCTTCAAAGAGCCCAATGACAGATTAGTATAAAAAGGAATTGCTAAAAGTTATCTGATCTTTTGTTTTTAATGTCTCACTGATTTTGAATGGCCTTGCCTATTGTTATTTTTAGCAACTTGAAAATAATTAACTTCTGGCAAAACTGAATTAGGAAAGACCTAGAGATCACCTAGAATCAATTCTCTCAATACACAATGGAAAAAAACTGTTGCTCAAAAGAGGTTTAGGAGTCTTGTCCAAGGCCAAAGAGCTGCTCCGGTTACCCAGGCCGATGGTCTTTCTCTACCAGCATTTCCCAAACAGTGTTCCTGTGAACACTGGTCCTATGCTACAAAATGAACTAACACTGATGCCTTACAACCATTTTAAGCACTTAATTTTCACAACGGGCAGATTCTATCCTCATCCCCACTATACAGATGTAAGAACTGAAGCACAAAGACATTAAAGCTAGTAAGTGAAATAGCTTGCTTTAAAAACAGGAAAAGCCTGATTCTGAAGTCTGTACCCTTAACCACTGTGCTACAGGATAACGCTCTAATGTATTAAAAGCCAAATGAATTTGGGAAATGGTATTTCATAGTCTTTCCTATTAAAGGCTTTGTGAAGCCTAGTAGCAAAAAAAACCCTACTTGAGTTGGTGTTTCCAGGGTTAGCCAATTAGCTCAGTTTAGAGTGTGTTGCTGATAACACCAAATCCAGGCTAGCTGCCAATTAAAAAAAAAAAAAATTCCAAGAAGTCGGTGTTTCCAAACTTGTTTTTGGCCATGAAACTCTAACAGAAAAATTTATTAGCATCTCATCCAACTAGTATTTCCAGGAATAAACTCTGGAAAACCCTACTCTACACTTACACAGAACTTAATATAATCAATTCAAATATGATACCATATGGCTTTCTAAGTCAGGGTGTCATTCATTCAGCAGTATTTACTGAGTCTTTATCTTAAACCAGGCACTGGGCTCTCCTGGGCCCCGAAGATAAGGGTGAGCAGGAACATCCACAGTTCAATCGAGAAGAAAGATGTTAATCACATAATTACACAAGATGTGACCGTGTTACAAAGAGGATACTAAAAGCAGAAAATAGCAGGTTGGGACTGGTAAGTGGGGACAGGAAGGCTTCCCATAAAGTGTCCACTAAGCTGAGACTTAACAAGAAAACAGGAATTATCTTTGAGAAAGGGGATGAGAAAAAGGACCCACGCAGGACAGCAAGGCAAAGGCACAGTGGTAGGACACGAGACTGGGGAGACAGGTGAGGCCAGGCCATGCAGTGCTTTGCAAGTCACATTTAAGGAATTTGATCTCCCCCCTAAAAGCAATGGGAAGCAACTGGAGAGTTTTAAGGCATTTCTAAGAGGTCTGAACTACAGAGTTCTAAGAGACTGAATAACAGCTAGAGTGGGCACAGGTAGACCAGTTAGGAGGCTCCTGTTAGGAGCAGACCAGGTAGGAGAGGAGCTTTGAATGCACATAGGGTGGTAGTTGTCATGGAGAAAGATGGGCAGATTAGAAAAAGACTTAGGAGATAAAACTGACAGGACCTGGCAACTAACTGGGTATGAGGAAAAGGAAGAAAGTAATATCGGAAGACTGCTACAGATCTTCTTTGTTATGTATCCTCACTCACTCTCCAAATCAAAATTCCCAGACTGTGAGTCACATCCAAAAGGAGGATCAAATTATTTTTTCACTATGTGTTATCTATAGAGGTATTAATTTAAAAGATAAATACTTCATCATTTACCTTAGGAAATAGTTCCCAAATTATATATTGACTTACTAGCTGTGTGATATTAGCCAAATTATTTCACCTTTTGAAGACTCTATTTCTTCAATTATGAAATGGACACTAAGACAGTCCTACCTCATGACTTTGTGAGATACATATAACAAGATATATTAAGTGGTTAGGACAGTCCCTAGTACACTGTGACCTTACATGGTAGCTATTATTATCCTATTACTACTGAAATAAACTCCATTATTAAAATGAAATCAACACCAGTGTTTTAAAGGCAGAGTTGTTTTATGTATTTTTCTACAATAATATAAGAAACAACACCTCAAAAACACTGATGTTTGTAACCGTATTTGATCCCCCTTCAGCTTGAGGGTTCAATTTAATTTGATTCTGTAAGTACTTGGGCAATTATGCTGTACCAAACACTGTGCCAACATCGAAGATACAGAAATGAGAAACACTTGCTCTTGGCCATCAAATAGCTCACTAGTCTTTGCTTTCTGTCACCTTTTCAATCTTTATGCTTGTTTTATTACAACAGAGCCAAAGAGGTAGGGAAACATACTATACCTAAAAGTGGTGGTCCCAGGAGGACAGGACAGCATTCCACAATGGTCACCAATCCCACAGCGCTGGAGAACCTCTGGGGTCCGACGAGGTCCATCAGTGTTTCAAACAATACTGAGCTGAGCCACCCAAAGGCAAATCCAAAGAATCCCGCATAGACACAGAACCCAACATAGCTGGTGGATAAAGGTGCTAGTAAATGACACACTCCATTTGCAATAATAGAAGCAGCAAAGAAATACTGAACTCGAGGTCTTATCCACTTTGTGTTGGCTACAAGTCCCATAGAAGGTCTGGCTACCATGTCAACAAAAGCCAGAATGGAAAGAAGGAAGGCAGACTTCTCACTAGAATAATGCTGACTCTTGCCATAATTACTGAGAAAAACCAAAGGTGTAAACAGTCCAAAAAACATGACGACATTTCCAGAGAGATACAGCAAAAAGCCTCTGTGAGTGAACAGGGATAAGTCCAGGAATTTATTAATTGTTTGGAAGACTGATTGTTTCTCCTCTTTGGGGTGTCCTCCAATAAGATCTGTATTTGCTTCACCTGCATCTTTTTTTGCATCAGATTTTCCAGCTTCCTGAAGAGAATCTTTAGACCTAGCTTTCCCTTCCTTGGTTGGTTTGGGCCCTATTGGTCGCATCAGGGCTCCAGCTACACAGCAGTTTAGCAATAAGCCCCCAAGAATTAGAAAGCTTCCTCTCCAGCCAAAGATGTCAAAGAAAGCCTGGTTGAGGGGGGCCAGGGTAGACAGGAACACAGGGCTGCCTGCCATGGCCAGTCCATTTGCCAATGGTCGTCTCTTGTAGAAATACTTTCCAATCATGGTCAAAGCTGGATTCAAGTTGAAGGCAAGCCCAAGACCTGGGTAAAAGGGGGAAGAAAAATCATATACTATGATAAATATCAGAAATATCTTTGAAATTACAGACAGAGAAACTAAAATAAGAGATATAAATAATTAAAAGAAGACAAAAAATCCAAATTATTAGAAGACATGTTGTACATTGGTTTAAAGTATGGGTTATAAAACAGACCACATGGGTTCAAATCTCAGCATCACCACAGACATGGAGACCCTCCTGTAACTGTTCCCTAATTTGTGAAACATGCATGGGGCAAGGCACTATTGTGATGAAGAAAAGATTTGTAAGGCATTTAGAATAGTGCCCAGCATGCAGTAAGCACTCAATAAATGTTATTTTTATTTTTATTTTTATTTTATTTTATTTTTTTTTTCCTTTTTGTCTTTGTTCGTGTCCAGCAACGGATCGCAACCCTCAGTGTCGCGCCCGTACCGGACCAGGACCGGCAACGGGATCGCAACCCTCGGTGCTGCCCCCACACCTCGCTCAGCCAGTGAGCAGGAACCGGTCTGTATGTGGGATCCGAACCCTCGGCAGGAGCGCCACCGCGCTCCCAAGCGGCGCACTGTAGCAGTGTGCCACCGGGCTGGCCCTATTTTTATTTTTTTGAAGGTAAATAATTGTCTATTTTGTCAAATCTAACAAAATCACCTAAAGGAATATTATAGCCATACAAGATCATTAAGTAGACAATTATCAAACAGAGATAAAACAGATTTACAATAGAAAATGCAATATAAAATTTTCACTGTAACACCAAAAACTAAAAAATGCAACTTACAGAGCTCAAATTGTAATACTTTTCTGAGACATCAGAAAATTAAAAAAAACAAAAAAACCACAGAGTTTTGGGAAAATAAATCCTATATGAATGCACTAATTTAATGCAATTCCAATGCGAATGTCAGTGGATTTTATTTTGAGATGAGGTAAAATTACTCTAAAACATATTTGGAAAACAAATATATGCAAGGTATCAGGAAATTTTTGGTGGTTGAAATTTTTGAGTGGGACCAACCATAACAGATATTGAAATGGCACTATAAAGGCTACAATCTTATGGGCTGGCTGGTTAGCTCAATTGGTTAGAGCATGGTGTTATAACACCAAGGTCAAGGATTTAGATCCCCACATTGGCCAACGACCAAACAAGCTACAATTATTAGAACAATGTGGCCCAGTCTCAGAAATAGGTAAACATTGATCAATGAAAGTGGACAGGAAGTCCAGGAACAGAGCTGAAATATATATAAACATTTAAGGTAAGATAAAGTAGCATTTTAAATTAGTGGAGAAAGGGCCAGCCTGTGGCTCACTCGGGAGAGTGTGGTGCTGATAACACCAAGGCCCCAGGTTCAGATCCCATATAGGGATGGCCGGTTAGCTCAATTGGTGAGCATGGTGCTGACAACACCAAGCCAAGGGTTAAGATCCCGTTACTGGTCATCTTTAAAAAAAAAAAAATTAATGGAGAAAGAATAAGTTATTCAATAAATAATGCTAGTAGAAGTAAATATTCACAGAACTTCTCAGATACTCTCCCTGACCATCTATGTTAAGCCATTCCCAGAGGCTTAAACCAATAAACCAGAACAAGTCACTCCCATACATCAAACCTAGAATGGCTTCCTATCTACAACCTTTACCCTGGCCCTTACTTCCCTCTCTGATGCCACACCAGGCCACTCTCCCCTGTGCTTATAAGCATGCTGCTGCCTAGACTATGTTTCCCTAGATTTTCACAAAGCTGATTCCTTGTTGTTATTCAGTTCTTTACTTGAAGTCATCTCTTTAATGAGCTTTTACCTTCTTTCACTGCCTGCCCAGTCCTTCCCTGTCACAACACTTAAGGCTTTGTACTGCATTTATCACTGCCTAATATTTTTCTTATGTATTCATATATTTGTGAGTTGTATTGTCCGACTCCTCCCATTACAGAGCATGACAACTTTGCCTGGATTGTTGCTCTCTTGCTACAGTTCCTAAAATGGTTCCTGACATACATACAGTTGTTGCTCAATAAATATTCCATAAATAAACTAATAAAAAAGCAAATGAAGCAACTGATTAATCATGTGGAAACAGAGTTATACTTTTTCTCATTTTATGTCAAGTGTTTTTATCTATTCAGAAGTTTTAAATGTAAAAAAATGAAGTAGACTAAAAAAAAGTGGACAAATATTTGCATAACCTTGGAATGGGGAACAACTTTCAAGAATGATATACAAGGGCCGGCCCCGTGGCTCACTTGGGAGAGTGCAGCGCTGGTAGCACTGAGGCTGTGGGTTCGGATCCTATATAGAGATGGCGGCTGAGCGTGGTGCAGACAACACCCCGCCGAGGGTTGCAATCCCCTTACTGGTCAAAAAACCAAAAAAGAATGATATACAAGACAGAATCCATAAAAGACTGATGGTTTTTAATAAATGAAAATTTTAGAAGTTCAATGAGAAAAAAAAGACTGAATTTGAAAAATATTTTCAAACAAAATTCAATAGCCAAAAGTTAATCAGGAAGAGATATTTGTACACTGAGGTTCTCAGCAGCATTATTCACAATGCCCAAAAGGTGAAAGTAACCCAAGTGTTCATCAACAGAAGAACAGATAAACAAAATGTGGTATATACATACAAGAGAATATTATTCAGCCTTAAAAAGGAATAGAATTCTGATACATGCTACAACTCAGATGAACCTTGAAGACATTATGCTAAGTGAAATAAGCCAATTACATAAATACAATTACCACATAATTTCATCTATATGAGGTACCTAGAATAGTCAAATTCATACAGACAGAAAGTAGAATGGTAGTTGCTAAGGGTGGTTGGGGCAGAGGGCAGGGAGGAAGGGAAGCATGAGGAGTTACTGTTTGATGAGTACAGAGTTTCAGTTTTACAAGATGAAAAGAGTTCTAGAGATGGATGGTGGTGACGGTTGCACAACATGAATGTACTTAATGCCACAGAACTCAAAAATGGTTAGAATGGTAAATTTTTATGTTACGTGTATTTTACCACAATTAAAAATTTTTAAAATTAATTTGGAAAAAAACTGCATCTTATGCAAAGGAATAATAAACTAATGAGCAAATTTATTATACATTACACTTATATCAACAAGAAAATGGATATACAAAAGTAGTCCATAAGCACTGGCTAACACTTAGCCACAAACATGAAAAAACATTTACTCCTAAAACTTAAAGGGGAGCCAATTTAAAACCAGGAGATACTGTTAAATTGGCATTGATTTAGAAAGAAAGAAAAAGACAATATCCCATTATCGGCAAGGATATTCTCTTTCAAATATTGTGGTGGGGCTATAAATGAGTATAATCTTTCTGGAGGGCAATTTAGCATATATGTATTAAAAAATACACACAGTAGTTCACCTTCTACAAATTCATCCTATGAAAATATTCACATTCACAAAGAACTTTCAACCTAATATTGTTTATTAACAGTAAAAAAAATTAAAACAAAAACAAAAGCACCTAAATATTTAACAGTTAACTAAGATATTGGTTAAAAAAAAATTAAATCTATTCAATGGAATAATAGAGATTCAAATTGTAATGTATTTGAATATTTAATGACATGAAAAGATATTCATGATATAAGTGAAAAAAAAGCGGTTACAAAATATTACACATAATCTAATCCTTTTTTGTTACAAAAAAAGGTTATATTTGTACATCCAAAAAAGTGTGAAAGTGTGAAAGGATAAACATCAAAATGTTAATAGTGATAGTCTTCGGATTGTGAAGTTTTGAATAATCTATTCATTATACTCATCTGCAGTTCATTACCTTAACTTGGTGAACAAAAAAAGGGTTCAGGGATTATCAATATATTGTCTATCCCTCAGAAATGTTTCCTGGACATTCTATCAAATAATTCCTGCTTTTTGTTTAATGCTCTCTCCTGCTCCAATAGAAGCCTATTCCCCTCGGGAAAAAGAGGTAAGGAGAGAAAATAACCAACAACCACCCTTGCAACAAGTTGCCACACACATTTTACTTACCACCACTGTCTATTCTTAGGACAAGGAATGCAATCAGCTCTTTCAATTCATTCATTAATCCATTCCACAAACAATAAACACCTATTATATGACAGCAAATTCTTTAAAAGTTTGCTTTTCTAGTAAATTAATTTATCTACGGTTCTTCATAATGATAAATCATTTGTATAAGGAAAGAATTAATTTCACTCAAGGAATATAAAAGATGAATGCAGGTGAATACCAAATAGCCAGCAATAAATTGTTTGAAAATGAATCACTAGCAACTCACCTCCAATGACTCCAATGCACAAGTAAAGCTCCTGTACAGTGTTACAGAAAGAAGCCGCAATCAAGCCACAGCCTGACAAGCAGCCACCAACAATCATGACTGGACGACTGCCATATTTATTCACCAGGATACTGCTGATAGGACCTAAGAAATAACCAAAAATTTAGTAGTATAAGGAACCTACTCCTTCACATCTATACAAGGCATGAATGACAATAAATGACAAGTCCTCCAAAATAAACAAAAGGCAATGATAGGATATTGCTTTCTATAATAATTTCTGAGTTATATGTATGTGTACTGGAAGATAAAGATGCTAGAAATCATTAATTGTGCATGTTCTGTATCTAGAAATATCATGGAATTTTACTAAAATATAAAACCCAAGTCTATCCTTAACCTTTCTCTTTCAAGGCAAAATAGGCTCAAAAGACCTTGGTAATGGATGTTCACAGGGTTCCTGACATATCTAGGATACGATAAACATATATTTAGTACGTTTGTTCTTTATAATTATAAATACAGGCACACATGATGAGATATATGAACACATCTGAATAGGTTTTAGAGCATTATTTAAACATTATCATAAATGTGATTTGTGTTGTATTATTAAAAAGAAAGAAAAAGCAAAAATACATAATCATTTTTTCCAAGGTTAAGCAGTGTTGCAATGAGGTCATCTCAAAAAACAAAAAACAAAAAGCAACTGTTCCTAGTTACAACTAGATGCTTCAGGTATTGAATCAAATATATGTTTCAGAAATTACTTGGTTCTATGCCTATTATTACTATGTTTCACGGTATCCATACTGTGAAAAAATGCTTGCAGGAAAAGATTAAGTCAAACAGTTAACATTAACCTTGCGTCTAACAACTCAAGAGGATAGAAAATGGAATATTATCCAAGAAAACCAGATTAAATTTCCTCAGCTAAATAGATGCATGCATCCTTTAGAAGATGATTAGTGAATGGATCATGAATGGGATCAGTGCCCTTATAAAAGACATCTGAGGGAGCTTTTGCCACGTGAGAATGTAGCTAGAAACGCACTATCTATAAGGAATGGGCCCTCACCAGACACTGAATCTGCTGGGGTCTTGATCTTGGACTTTCCAGCCTTCACCGTGAACAATAAATTTTTATTGTTCACAAGGTATTTGTTACAGCAGCCTGGATGGACTAGGACAGCCACTTCATGAAAATATTAGGTCACAGATGACTTGAAAATAATTTGAATTTACAGTTTGTGTAAAACAAAAGAATTGAATACTCAAAGAATATTTATAAAATATCTCAATATAAATTAGTCATGAGATTTTGTATGGTCAGAATTACAAAGATCAATAGTGCTGCACTACTGACTCTGTGAGGTACAAGTTAATGCGTTAAATCATGCAGTATTTGAAATTCCAAACCAGGAGTGTTAAGACGACCACTGTGAGGGCCGGCCCTTGGCTAACTCGGGAGAGTGCGGTGCTAATAACACCAAGGCCACGGGTTCGGATCCTACATAGGGATGGCCGGTTGGCTCACTGGCTGAGCGTGGTGCTCACCACACCAAGTCAAGGGTTGAGATCCCCTTACTGGTCATCTTTATTTAAAAAAAAAAAAAAAAAAAAGATGACCATCGTGGAACAGAAAATACAAGGGTACTTCAAAAAATTCATGGAAAGTATAGCCTTATAACACCAAGGTTATGGGTTCCGGTCCCCATACCAGCGCAGCTGCCAAAAAAAAAAATTCATGGAATGATTCATGTTATCTTTCAATTCTGTTTTTCCACAAACTTTTTGAAGTACCCTCATATGAAAATTTCTACTTTCATGTTAATTTTTTAAAAAAAGAAAAACAAATTAACAAACCAAAAGTAGGCAACTAAGTTCTCCTTCCCAAAAAATATACTTACACTCTAATAACTATCACTATGTATATCTGACCCAAAGCACTAAAAAAGAAAATGTAACCAATCACAACTCAAAATATATTCATGTTCAAAGTGTGGTCCAAGTGCACAAATTCAGGGATTATGACAGTTAAAAAAGTAATGAAAATTCTTAAGGGACATACTACTTAGAAACCAGTCAAAACAAAATAACCAACTTAATAAGAATTCTGTCATAAGGCTCATGACAGGCAATTTGTCTTTAAGAGTTATTTCAGGAAGGATGGCCCTAATTAGCTATCATTAAAAATAGAAAGGGGTACAGTTTATAGGCCTATTATAATACAAACTCAGAGAAATGTGCTAGTTATCTCACTAACTGGGTGAGGACAAAGAAAGAACTGTTTCCCCAAAGGAAAGTGTCATGTGCGATTAGCACAACTGACATCACTCACTTTTGATGCAAAATGCAAGTTGCTCTTAAACTCTTTGGCAGCTCAGAATTGCAACATGTGAACCTCTGGTTTGTAGTCAGCTTAAGGAATTACTGAACACCTGGACTACCTCTGGATAATATTTATACCGATTTCTTCAAGCTATCATAGTCAAAACCTGATTAGAAATCCTGGCAGATTGGAATCCAAAGCCTGTGAATTACTGGCTCTCAGAAGCTAGACAATGTCCAAAGTCCCTTTTGATTTCTCTGAACTTACAAAAAAATAAGTACTATAATTTTAGCACTTAGGGCTCTTTAAAAATGTATTTAATTTAGAATACAAAACAGGTCTATGTTCAAAATGTAAAAGACACAAAAAGATGTACAGTGGAAAAAAAGAGTCTTCCTGTTCCCAGCCACCCAGTTTCTCTCTAAGGCAACCAGCTACCCATTTCTTCTGTGCAATTTAATTATGTTTCATTAAATTATGATTTCAACTTCATATTCCTGTTTCATGAGCTTATATTATTGTCTCAAGAGGATTATAAACTTCTCAAAGGAGAGGACCAGGATCAGTGTTCTCCGTCACTCATAACACTGCCCAGTGCTCAATATATTCATGGGGTTCGATAAACATTGGTTGAATGTACCACCAGTTTAGCAACCTAAGACTAAGTTATTTACAGTTAAAATATAGAATCTATACATATATTACATATATATTATATATTAAGAAGCTACATGTGAGAATAATCTGAGGTACAAAATTGCCACTAAAAACAAGTTTGTTTGGGTTTTTTGGAGGCTGGCTAGCATGGGGACCAGAACCCTTGACCTTGATGTTATATGCTCTAACCAACTGAGCTAACCGGCCAGCCTTACCAACAAGATTAACAGAAGTGAAAGCTTAGCAAAACCAGCAACATGAGACACTGTCAATCCCAGTAAATAAATACACTTGGCTTTAGAATCCTTGCTAACTAAGCAACTATAAATTTTCAGTATTATGATAGGTTTGACTTTTACATGTTTAATTGTGGTTTGATGTTCCAAGGTGAAACACACAGTATTTTAAATGATGTTAGGTAAACAACTTAGTATCTACATTTTCTTCACAACATGCCAAAGAAAACAGAAGGGAAGGAAATAAGATAAATTTAGAAGGCAGTTGAAATGCTTTTAGGACTCACAACGTCACAGGGAATAAGGGGGAGGTTTTCTTCAGTTCTTTAACACTATGAAAAGATTTTTTTTTTTTTGTCTTCCATGAAAAGATTTTTACCTGAGACTTTGAACTATGCTTTTCAGATTAGCCTGACTTATTTTAATTCTTCCAATCAATTTTTAAAAATCTGTATTTATGTTTACATTTAAACAGTCTAGCAGAGAGCAACAAGAAAAACCAGTTGTGCACACGACATTTTTACAAGAGTTTTTTAAAGCACAATGATCCTCGAGTTGAAGCAAATCAGGGCTCCTTACAATTTCTCATTTCTGTTTTGGAACAAACAGAACAAGAGTTGCCATTGTTATCAGGAATGAAAAATGTTACTCTAAACACAAACTTCAAGAACTAACATTTCAAAACATCTCACCAAATAAGTTATTTAAAAAAATAAGTCACCCAATACAGAGACTGGCTGCTTAATGAAAATTAACAGAGCAGGCTTTAATGGGTACTTACCTCCACCATACATGACAGCCAACATGATGGAAGATATCCATGACACTTCACTGGTGGTGGCATTGAATATACCTTCAATTTCTTTGAAGAAGACAGTAATAGATTTGGGAAATGCATAAGAGAAGCCAATGGAAATGAAAGCTCCAACTACCACTGCCCACCCCCAGCCTCCATCTGGGGGGGTGTATCCAACTGGACCTCCAACTACCGGTGGCATTTTAAGTGTAGATGAATTCCAAAATGCAGTTCAAATCCAAATATCTGAAGAATACAAAATTAAAACAGTATATCAACAAAAAAGTACTCCCACAAAATCCTTCTGTGTAATAAGAAATACACTTGAACAATGTGGAGGTTAGGGGTGCTAACCCACCTCGCAGTTGAAAATCTGAATATAATTTTTGACTCCCCCAAAACTTAACTACTAAAGTGTGTTGTGTGCTTTTAAGTACTTAATTACTTAACTATTAATAGCCTACAGTTAGGTGGATAACCAAAAATTTTCCAATATATTTATTGAAAAAAATCCATGGCTAAGGGGACCCATGCATTTCAAAACAATGTTGTTCAAGGGTTTGCTGTATATATTTCTTGTTCTTTGTTCCTGGTTCTTGGCAGAGCTCCTACACCCTTTATAATTTCCTGAGAGATAAAGATTAATAGGTGTATCTTTTTCCTAATATGAGGGTACTTCAACAAGTTTATGGAAAAATGGAATTGGGTGGGTGTGGCTGGAGATTAAGCTCTATAAAAACTCTTGAACAAGAGATCCATGTGCCAGGAGGGTGGTGCACCCCAAGTGCACAGGGACAGAAGGTACTGAACTAGGTCCTTCCAGACCTCACCCTATGTACCTTGTCATTTGGCTGTCCATCTGCCTCTTTTATAATAAACTGGTAAACATAAGCAAGCATTTCCCTGAGTTTTTTGAGCTATCCTTGCAAATTTATCTAATGCAAAGAGAGAGCAGTGGGAATCCTGATTTATAGCTGTTCAGTCAGAAGTACAGGTGACAAGCTACTACTTGCAATTGGCATCTGAAGTGGGGGGCAGTCTTGTGGGACATATGGGATCTGACTCTAACTCCAGGTAGATAAGGTTAGAATTGAATTGAGTTACTGGACACCCAGTTGGTATCTGCTGGAGAACTGCTTGGTGTGTGGGGGAAGAAACCTACACATGTGATCACAGAAGTGTTCTGTGATGTGTTGAGTGTTGACTGTGTAAAAGAAAAAGTGTTTTCTCCCTTTGGACCTTTATACCTAGCTCTTGAGTAAATGAATTGTTTTTCAATGTTACTTGTCCAATAGACATTATCTTCTAAAGACATTATCAGAAAAAGTCTTAGAGTCATGGCATTGCTCATAATTTTTTGTAGCTTAAAGGAAAATAGCTTCTCATCACTTAAGAAACCATAACTGAAATAAATCCTTTCAATAAATGTAGCCTTTGTACTTCAAATAAACATACTTGTTTTAGCAGTTAATAGAACAATTCCTGAAATTACTCTAGATGACTAAATGCCTCATTTGACTCACCTGCTTGCAAAATTCACATCACACATACCCTAAAAATGTTTCAGGTTTTAATATTGACTTTTGTTTGTTTGTTTTGGTGTCTGGCCAGTACGGGGATCCAAACCTTTGACTGTGGTGTTATAGTACAATATAGCCTTTATAAGTTTTGTCCCATTACCAAAAAGTATTCAATACTTACTTCTTTACTTTCTCTTATTTATGACAGATTTAACATATTTGGAAGTGAGTACCTGAACTCACTTGATACGTAGCAATTTACAAAACAGATCACTCTGAACACACAAGATTTTCATTTAATGCGCTGGAAAACTATCTCAGAAATTTTCCTATTATCTAATTGCTTCAATTCAAGGTAGTTTTTCCCCATTATATGACAAGAAAGACAAACTTCTAAACAACTAGTCGGCACAACTAAATTCACAAATTAAATTATGATGTCAAAAGATGGTATAGGTAAACCTTGGAGATAATCGTGGGTTTGGTTCCAGACCATTGCAATAAACTGAGTCACATGAATTTTTTGTTTCCCAATGCATATAAAAAGTTATGTTTATACTGTCCTGTAGTCTCTTAAGCGGGCAACAGCATTATGTCTAAGAAACAATGTACTTTATCGCTTAAAAAATGCTCACAGTCATCTGAGCCTTCGGGGAATTATCTTTTTGCTGGTGGAGGGTCTTGCCTTGATGTTGATGTCTGTTGACAGATCAGGGTAGTGGTTGCTGAAGGCTGGGATGGCTGTGGCAATTTCTCAAAAATAAGACAACAATGAAGTTTGTCACACTGATTGACTTCCTTTCATGAAAGAGTTCTCTGTAGCATGCAATGCTATTTGATAGCATTTTACTCGCTGCAGAACTTCTTTCAAAATTGGAGTCAATTTCCTCAAACCCTGCCACCGCTTTATTAACTAAGTTTATGTAATATTCTAAATACTGTTGTCATTTCAACAATGTTCACAATAGCATTTCACCAGAGTAGATTCCACCTCAAGAAACCACTTGCTTTGCTCATTCATAAGAAGCAATTCCTCATCTGTTAACGTTTTATCATGAGATTGCACAATTCAGTCACATCTTCAGGCTCCATTTCTAATTCTAGTTCCTTTACTATTTCCACCACATCTGCAATTACTTCCTCCACTGAAGTTTTGAACCCCTCAAAGTCATCCATGAGGGTTGGAATCAATTTCTTCCAAACTCCTATCAATGTTGATATTTTGTCCTCCCATGAATACGAATGTTCTTAATGGCATCTAAAATGGTGAATCCTTTCTAGAAGGTTTTCAGTTTACTTTGCCCAGATCTATCAGAGGAATCACTATGTGTGGCAGCTACAGACTTATAAGATGTATTTCTTAAATAATAAGCCTTGAAAGTCAAAATTACTCCTTGATCCATGGGCTGCAGAATGGATGTTGTGTTAGCAGGCACAAAAACAACATTAATCTCCTTGTACATCTCCATAAGAAGTCTTCGGTGACGGTAACCAGGTGCAAATATTGCTACTCATCAATGAGCAGTAATATTTTGAAAGGTATCTTTTCTTCTGAGCAACAGGTATCAACAGTGGGTTTAAAATATTCAATAAACCAGGGCCTGCCTGTGGTTCACGTGGGAGAGTGTGGTGCTGATAACACCAAGGCCACGGGTTCGGATCCCTATATAGGGATGGCTGGTTAGCTCTCTTGGGAGAGCGTGGTGCTGACAACACCAAGTCAAGGGTTAAGATCCCGTTACTGGTCATCTTTACAAAAAAAAAATAAATAAAAATAAAATAAAATAAAATATTCAATAAACCTTGTTGTAAACATATGTGCTGTCATCCAGGCTTTGTTGTTCCATTTACAGAGCACAGGCAGAGTAGATTTAGCATAATTCTTAAGGGCCCTAGGAATTTCAAAATGGGAAAAGGACTGGCTTCAATTCAAATTAACCAGCTGCATTAACCCTTAACAAGAGTCAGCCTGTCCTTTGAAGCCAGGCACTGACTTCTCCTCTCTAGCAATGAAAGTCCTAGATGGCATCTTCTTCCAATAGAAGGCTATTTCAACTACATTGAAACTTTGTTGTTTGGTGTAGCCACCTCCATCTATGATCTTAGCTGGATCTTCTGGAAACTTACTGCACCTTCTATATCAGCACTCACTGCTTCACCTTACAATTTTATGTTATAGAGATGGCTTTGTTCCTTAAACCTCATGAACCAACTTCTGCCAGCTTCGAACTTTTCTTCTACAGCTTCCTTATTTCTCTCAGCCTCCATAGAATTGAAGGGAGTTAGGGTCATGTTCTATATTAAGCTTTGGCTTAAGGGAATATTGTGTCTGGTTGGATCTTCCCACCCAGACCACTAAAACTTTCTCCATATCAGCAATAAGGCTACCTCGCTTTCTTATTATTCGTGTGTTCACTAGAGTAGCACGTTTAATTTCCTTCACGAATTTTTCCTTTGCATTCACAACTTGGCTAATTGTTTGGTCCAAGAGGCATTGGGTCTATCTCTGTTTTCGACATGCCTTCCTCAGTAAGCTTAATCATTTCTAGCTTTTTATTTAAGAATGAGAAATATGCAACTCTTCCTTTCACTTGAACAATTAGAGACCATTGTAAGGGTTTTCACTGGCCTGATTTAAATATTCTTGTGTCTCAGGGAATAGGGAGGCCTGAGGAGAGGAAAGAGACAGGGGAATGGCCAGTTGGTGGAGCAGTCAGAACACAAACAACATTTATCAATAAAGTTTGCCGTCTTATGTGGCATGATTCTGTGGAGTCCCAAAACAATTACAACTGTAACATCAAAGATCACTGATCGCAGATCACCATAACGGATACAATAATAATTTAAAAGTTCTGACTACCATGCTCTTTAGTCTAAAACACAAATCCTATAGTACTCAACTCCTAAATACTTCCAGGATTAGGAAGAAAATATACCCATATGGGAAGTTTCCCTAAAAGCAAGGATATACTTACCATTTGTACCATGGGTTCAAGCCAGTGTATACAGGTAAGAAGAAGAAATAAAAAGCATAAGGACTGGAAAGGAGGAAGTAAAGTTGTTTATACAAAAAAGGTACTCAAACTAATAAGTGATTTTAACTAGATCTCAGCATATAAGATGAATAAACAGAAATCAAGTGTATTTCTATATACTAGCAATGAACAATAAAAATTTAAATAATGCTATTGTAAATGGTAAACAAAGTAGGGATAAATCTGACAAAAGATGCATATGATGTATACACTGAAAACTACAAAATAATACTGAGAAATTAAAAATCTAAGTAGGGGCTGGCCTGTTAGCTCAGTTGGTTAGAGAATGGTGTTACAACACCAAGGTTAAGGGTTTGGATCCCCATACCAGCCAGCTCCCCCTGCCCCCCCCCAAAAAATTCTAAATATATAACCTATCTTCAAGGATTGAAAGACTCAATATTTGAATGAGGCAAACATTTCTGAAGGCACATAAAGCTCCAACTATAAAATTTTCATAAACTGAACTTCAAATTACAAGGGTATTTCTAAAAGTTCATGGATAATACAACTCTTTCCTTGAAACTTTTGAAATACCCTTGTACATGCAAAACATATATCCAACAAAAGATATACCCAGAACATAAAAAGAACTTTTCAACTCAATAGCAAAAAGATAAACAACCCAACCTAAAAATGGGCAAAAGGGGTCGGCCCGTGGCTCACTCGGGAGAGTATAGTGCTGATA